GTGTGCAGCTACTGTGGGGAAATCTGTTGGTCTCCTCAACTTCATTTTGCCTGTGCTAAGTGAGAGTTGAAGTACATGTCAATCAAATCTGAGGGGAAGAACCATCTGAATCTGTGATTGACTCCTCTGGCGGCTCCTCTCTTCCCTCGTACTCAGCGCTGACGAACATGTACACACCTTCTCTGTTGTTCTTTCTGTAGTCAATAACTTGATGTAGGGAAGACACAGCAGAAAGCCCATGCTTTGCTTCCCCTATTCAGAGGACATTTTTGAGGGTCTCTTGCATATTAGGCAGTGACCAAGTATTGGGGCTCCCCCCAGGCCTCGCAGTGGATAGCAATGAATCGTGGGCTCATGCAGGATCTGGCAGGGTACGAACTTTGTAAGTGGGAACAGCAGGTCAGGGGGCAGAGAGGCAAAGTCTGTCCTTACGTGATGAGAGGGACCGAGCCTGGAAGGATGCGCTGTGGTCTGCGAACATCATTATTAGCAGGTTGGAGACATACTGGAGAGTGTTCAGAGGGAAGCAGCAAGGATGATAAATGGGCGGAAAGACTGATTTATGAAGACCCACACAACAAAATATGTATTCTTGGATCAACAAAGACTTCACAAGAAATGCGATCGCTATCAACGACTCTCTGAAGGCTGCGAATACCCCAGAGGGTTGCAGTCTTTCGTTTGATATTTGGGATGGTGACATGGAATCAGAGGCTGGCAAATTCTACCTGTGGATCAGGGGCTTGGGGGCCAGCGAATCCATCTCTGTCTCATTGGCAGAAAGTGGCTTCAAAGGACGGCACCCGTCAGCCACTCTGCCTCCGATCTCTGCTTCTGCAGTTGTAATTACGCATAGCCCCTCGTTTTCTGCTTATGCTCAGTGATTTTAATGTGTGTTTCCTATTTATATATACCTTCCCTCAAGATGTCAAGAGTGAAATATTTGGTCTTTTTTTCTTTTACCATCAACTTCAAAGGCTGGAAGATAAAAGCAGTTGAGTTCTGAACAAACTTAAAAAAAAAAAGTCAGTTTGCTTGCTTAACCCTTGTTGAAGGTCAATTGTCATCATGAAGGGTTCTATTTCTAGGAAAAGCCAAATGCATGAGATAAGCCTATAAAACTAGCCTTTAGTGCCATATTTAGCCAAAAGTTTTGTAAACACACATGCTCACAGATGATATAGTGTACAAAGCTTTCAAAGGGTAAACACTGAGATGCCCAGACCCAAGGCAAGCCCTTACTATTTCGTATATTCTAGATTCCTGCCAGAGGGGCTATCTTCACTATGGGGGCAGTGCAAAGTGGATAACTCCGATGGGGCTGGACCTGGAATTTGGTTCCATAAACTCTTATCAGGGCTGCATCTATAGGACCGGCAAGACTGTTCACCCCCAGCCATACCCACTGTAAGTGCTGGGAGGAGCAATGGGGCCCAATGGTGGCTTGACATCATTCTGGTGAAGTATCTGTGAGCTGCAGATTCCTATTTTATTTTTATGATACCTGGGCAAAGATGTCATTTCTAGATTAGAAATGCTATTGTGGGGGTGGGGTGGGGGTGGGGGTCAAAGGTGCAACCCCGGGTGAAGGCTATGGGTTTGGTCAATCTTCTGGCCTCAGTGGGTCTTGGGACTTGTATTTTGAGATAACTGGGGCCCAGGTCTTCTGGTAGGTGTGGGTCTAGATAAAGAAGCTGAGACTGCTGGGCATCATTTGCTCCATGATGAGAGCCAGCCTGAGAATGAGGCCTGTACACAGACAAGGGAAGCCACGGGAGCCTTCATGACAGTGGATCAACCAGATTGAGCTTATATGGAAGAAACTCTGCCAATCTTTGTTAATTTTAGATATGGGAACAAAACGTATCTGTTAAAAACAAAACAACAGTTTAACCTGGACTTTGGTTATATAGAGATCAACCTGGTCCTTTATAACATAAAGAATCCCAGGTAATATTCGAATAACACCCAGTTGAAGGGGACAGTTGGGGGAAGAAAGAGGGTATGTGCTGGAGAAAGCAGAAGGGGAAGAATGTGAGCAGGTTATAATGACGGATGTGTGTATGTGAACATATAATGAAACTCAGTATTCTATGCATTAACTAAAATAGAATAAAAAGAACCAAAGTAGGGATAGAGACCACATGCTCTGAGCGTGGAAGAGAGAAGACTCAGGGGTTAGGAAGCAGTGAGGGCGATGGAGTGGTGTGGAGGGTGGAGGGCAGAGAGGGTAGGAGGCGACCAGCACAACAGTGTCCATCTGCTGGGCCTGGGATAGGCTCACACTAAGCTCTCCATTTAGTGCTGTAAGAATGAGGACACTAAGACTCAGTCTGGTCCAGCACTTTTCCTAGTTGTCCCACTGGTGAGGGGGACACTTGGGATCAGAGCCTGGGCTCTCGCCACAACCCCAGCCTCCTTCCGGTCTACAGCGGTCGAGGTTTAGAGCACATGGGTATCAGGGGTGGTGGTTCCGTCTTGCACAAGTCACTCATGTTCCTTTTGTCGTAGTTTCCAGCAGTGTGACAAAGGGAGGGTTGCCAAACCCCACCTGTCAGTGCCATTTTTAAAGACTAATGTGAAGGAGGCATCCTACAGGCTGGGGAGTGCTAGGGTGAATCCTGGGCGTTGATTGGAGGAAGACTCCAGGGAGGCAGTGACACTTGTGCTTTTCCACGGAGTTGGAGGGGGCAGGGTGAATCGTTGAGCTCAACCTGGGGAGATGGATGAAGCACAGAGGGCTGTGAGCCATCTGGGCTGAGGCAGTGCCTGAAGGGGAGCTCAGAGATAGGTCCGGGGTAGTGCTCCGTGGAAGCTTGTCTGATGTATCCATCTATTTATTCAAGGGAAAACACGTCTCCTGAGTCCATTTATCGTTTTTTCCTGCCCAAGACCGTCGGCCTGTCAAGATGGTTCAGACGGTAGAGGGTCTTGCTATGCAGACCTGATGGCCCAAGATTGGCCCTAGGGTGCTAGGATGGAGAGAACCAACTCCCAGAAGTTGTTCTCTGACCTACACACCAACACCTGCATATCACACACATGAAAACATACACACATACAATAATAATAAATCAAGTAAAAATTACAAAAAGAACCATTGTTCTACTATGTTTGATTTTTAGTGTATGAAATTTTTCTAGCTTCCTATATACAATGGCTCTCTTTTCCTCCTTAACGTCCTTATATATGTACGTAAGTACACACACACACACACACACACACACACACGCACACACGCACACACACACACACACACACACACACACACACACACGCACACACACACTTACATACATTCCCTTTTGTTTTATTTTTTATTTTTGGAAATAGGGTCTCATTATGGAGCCCTGGCTGGTCTGGAGCTGGTTATGTAGACCAAGATGGCCTCAAACTGTTCACTGAGTGCTGGGATAAAAGGTGCTGATACATCACCACCACACCCGGCTTTTGTTTGTTCTGAGAGAAGGTCCGGCTGTGTTGCCAGGCTGAGCTTAAATCTGTGATTCTTTGACTCCAGGCTCCTAGGTGTTGGAACTGCTGTGTGCATGTATTCGTATAGTTGACTTTCACAGTTCATCTTTTTCCTCCAGTGCCATATAAGCTCCATAGGCTCCGTCTACAGTTGTATCAGGCCACTTTGAAGTGTCTGCTCCAAACATGGCATATGCTGAACAAATGGTTCTCTAACTAAAGAACAAACCTCCTACTCCCAATTCTAATGTACGGGGCCTGCCCTGCATGGACGCCATCCGAGGGGAACTCAGTCTCGCCCAGTACCTGCACATGGTCCAGACCTGTCACTTCTCTCCTCATCCCATTAGCACTTCCAGCCTCATCTTAGAAGAGGGCCTGGGAACTGCAGCCTCTTCTGGACTCCTCCAGTTTTCCTTCCCCGGATCTCCATTTGTAACTTTCTGTTCTCTTTCCAGGTTGATGAGGTCATCTCCGAAGGACCCTGTCAGTTTAGAAAGCTTCAAGAAACCCTCTGTCCTATCTGTTTTCGGGATGAAGACCTGTAAGATGAGCTCATCTTGCCAATGTCCATCTTCTTGAAAAGTCTACCTTGGACCCACCTCCACACTTCCCAAGTCTGTCTCTTTCCTGGCCCTTCCAAAGACTACTCAGTTTTTAGAAGAGGCAGGGAACCCAGGAAAGACCAGAGGAAAAAGGAGAAAAAAAATCACGTTGTCCTGCTGAGCATGGATTCACAATCACCTAAATAAAAGGAAGGATATGTATTGGATTCTTGATTTAGACTGAGAAGGTATATTGAGTCTTTAATTTTATTCTTCTTACTTTAACTTTTTAAAAAGTATGGTCTCATGTATCCTAGGCTGTCCTTGAACTTACTAGGTAGCCCCAAATGACCTTGAACCCCCGGTCTCCTGCCTCAGTCATCCAAGTATGAGGTCTGTGACACTCTGTCCAGTTTATTGTTTGCCTTATTCTTGACTGAATGTCTGTTAATAAGTAACAGTTAAAGACACATTGGATTTTTTTTTTTTACTCTTGTGATTCCTAGAATAGCACACCAAACAAACATGAAATACCTGTTCATATCTTCATCTGATAACTTAATTTCACCTAATCACCAAGTGATTTTTGACGGTCAAATCATATCCCTCCCCACTTTCAGACGCAGGTTCTCACTGCGCGGTCCAGCCTAGCTTTGACTTCACAATCTCAGGCTCTTCCTGCCTCAGCCTTCCAAGTTCTGGGGTTTCAGGAGTACACCACATCCCAGCTTGGATCACTTTCAAATTAAAATATTTATTGTGATCAAAGGCAACCATAAAATCAAGAAGGTGGCATTAGCTGAAAGATAACTGGAAATAATCAAATCAAGAAGGTGGCATTAGCTGAAGGATAACTGGAAATAACCAAATTAGAAAACCACTGATTCGATGGATTTTGTTCCAATTCATCACAGTTTCAAAACTCACATTGGAGGAAGTGACAGAAGGGTGCCATTAAATGCAGTATGCGCCCTTGCCTGGGTCTTCTTTCATAGTCTAAGCCGAGGAGCCCTTTCAGTCCAGTTTATACATTCAGTGGGTAGTTCCCTCGGTGCTTTCTGGCAGTACTTTCTGGTTTAGCTCTTTCTGGGGGTGGATAGTACCCACTCGGTCTCCCTGTGAATCCACGGTTGATGTGTGAGCTCGGGGCTCCCTGATGTCAGGCGTGGTCAGGAATGAACAGCCCCATGACAAGCAAGGATGGTTCGATTGCTCTGGACAGTTACTGGTTCCCCGGCACCGGTGTGGGCTTCCTGGAAGCTTTCTCCGAGGCATGGCCGGAAGGAAGCCTGGAAGACGTAGACATGAGAAATAACAAGGTGATGGAAGTTATCTGTTAATGTGTGCTGTGGTGTTTAGTGGGGGAAATTTCATCTGGCGGTTGATTTGAGTTTTCAATTGATCATTAATCTTGCTTTATGACTTGTAGGGGGGAAAAAGCAATATTTTTCAATCACATTTTATTTAATGTGTGCCCGTGCCACAGTACTAATTTCCAGGTGGAAGATCGACTTTCAAGGACATCCCTTTCCCCCCTTACTTGACAGATTGAGCTAGTATTAGTTCCAAAATTCCAGGGACAAACGTGTAGTGCAGGAGAAGCTTGGATTCAGGTGAGAAACGGGCTCTCTGAAGATTAATTGGAGGGTGAAACTTACAATGCTTATTTGTTCTTATTTTTTATTTCAGGAGTCTCAGATACTGAGCAGCCACAGGCCAAGAAGGTCAGTGACATGTATGAGTGCATCAGAGGCTGTCCTGATGGTGTGATTGCAGAGTTTTACAGAAAGAAACAGGCCTGAAAATACTGTCCACCTGCATCTCTAAGCACTTGGAACCGCTGTGAAATTACAAGTAACACCCTTCAACTCCAGAGACGAATGATTAAGAAGATATTCTCCAGCTGGTCCATAACTTAGAAGAGAAAAAACTTGCTTTATTATTTATTATTATGTTTATTATAGCAATGACACCTAATGTTAGATGAAAGTACCTGGGGCTGGCGGTGGTGATGGAAGAATGATTGATTGATTTTTCCATAAGTCCAAAAGGCATAAGTAAGACAGACAAGTCAGTTTTTAGACAGAGACTCCCTCTCTCTTTAAAGATTTATTTATGTACTTTATGTATATGAGTGCTCTGTCTGCATGTACACCTGCACTCCAGAAGAGGGCACTGGATCCCATTATAGATGGTTGTGAGATGCCATGTGGTTGCTGGGAATTGAACTCAGGACCTCTGGAAGAGCAGCCAGTGCACTTATGTGCTGAGCCATCTCTCCAGCCCCCTAGAGACCTTCTACACACCGCACAGAGATTCCTAACAGCGGGAAGTGTCAACAAGAAACATTAGATCTCATAGTTCAGCCAGTGGCATCTGGAGGATTGGTCATCAGTCAGGGCTGGTAAAGCCGATAAACATTAAGGAAATGAGTGAATGAGCTTATGAAAGGTGAGAAATGTCTGTGTGTTGGGCCTGTAAGTGCTTTATAAATGAAACTAGGAAAATGGAGGCTGGCACTTACATAGGACTGTATATATTACCTGCTACTTTGTCAATGAGGAAGGGACATGTATCCTCTTCCCCCAAATTCTGCCTTTTTTTCCCCTGAATGAAGATATTTTACTTTTTCCTCCCTAAGAATCTGTGAAAAATCCATATTTCTTTTTTCTGACGGATTTGCAAATCCACCTAAGCATACCAGACCTCTGTTCCTCATTTCTGAGACTACCCTTGAGATGCTACCTGTAGGTAAAGTTATTTGTAGCTTTACCTGTAGCTCTATTGACCTTGTCTCATTTTTGGAAATTTTCTAGTGTCTTTAATACAGACACGAGCGGGGACAACAATAGAAACCAGGGCTCCAACAGTGTGATTTATTATGGGGCATATTTATCAGGAGAGAGCAAGCTGGCCTCAATGCAGAGTAGTCATAGAAGGTTCACAGTCACCTCAGAGGCAGCAGAGGGCTGACATCACATAAACAGCCACAGAAAAGCAGTTAAATGATTTTCTCTGTGTTCTTGGGGGAGGCTGTATCTAATCTGATGCAGTTGCTCCACAGGAGCCCCGCTAATGACATCTCCACCAAATATCAGCTCAATAAATTGCTTCCCATCATTAATCTGAGTGTCAATGTCTGCATTAATGGTGTTTACCCAGCAGAGGGGCTAAGGGAGAGATAATAAGGACCTGTTTTTAGTGACATATAAGGGTGGCCTCATGGAAACAAGAGGATATATACTGGGTCTCCTGGTTCTGGTGGCTCTAAATCACTTTCTTTATTCCTTTCCACTCTTTGGTTCTTCTCGGAGACTACTATACACCTGGTTTTATGTTCCAGTTTATATACCAACCACCAAAAACCCTTGGGGAGTTCCAGGCAGTTGAAGAGGGACCAAAGTCATCACCCACATGTATAAATGACTGTGATGAAAGAATGTAATGAGGCATCACCTTTAGATGGAGCTAGACCATTTCCCCAGAAAAACCAAGGCTTTCTGCTTGAAAGTCTTCACCGGGAACTAGGGTGACTTAGCAACCACAAGAGTCAAGGCAGAGAGGAGCGGGACCAGGGCTGTGGACCTCCAGGGCTCCCCCATCTCCTGCTCTGCCACTTCCTCCACTGTTGATTGCTTTACATTTTCAAGTGAATAAAGTACACAGCATTGAGCTCGGAAGGCAAGACAAGAGGACAGACAGCTCAACTCCAGTGTGGCAGATGTGCCTTGAAGGGAAGAGGGACAGTGATGTTGTTGTGAGGAAACCCTGCCCTAAAGATGCAGACCAGTGGAGACCCAGAGCCAGGATCGGGGGCTGGGGCCAGCGGGGGGGTGGGGTCAGCATTCTGAAGCCCCAGTGCGTGCTGCGCAAGCAGGGTGGTATAACCTGTTTACTTGAAACAGGGTCTCCCTGTTTAGCCCAGACTGGCCTCAAACTTGCCAGCCTCCCGACTCCATTCCACCCCACCCTGTCCATAAATCTGTTACTGAGGCATTTCGTACAGAGATTTGTGTCGCTGCCTCTTTACACATAAAGCTGCTTCCGACAGGTTGCAGCAGTCAAGGCAGATGCACACCCCAGAGTGCAGTCTGCTTTACTCAACGCACTGACACAGAAGTCATCCCCACGCAGCACGCCTTCACCAAACACCTGCAATCATGTCTAGCCAAGCATTTGAGCACTTCTTGGGGTCCAGTCGAGATGAATCACCTCCCATCATATTTATCTCCCTTCCTCAGCCATCACAGCATGAGTCTGCTCTCTTCTCTTTACATGAGGATGTCGGGTCCTATGTCCCAGAATAAGCTTCCTGACACTTTCTCCACTGTGTCCACTGTGTGAAGACCGAAAGCTCAGCCAGTGTTTCCTGATTTCTCCAGGTAGATGTCTATGGGTAATGTATGGATAGTCTATAGGAGTGCAGAGTGAATACTACCCTTGCCGACTGTTAGTTTTACATGGCGCAATGTTATTCATTAAGCAGCGCTGTTTACCACTCGAGAAAAGCCATGAGGCACAACAAAACCCACTATAAGAGGAGAATGTGCTTAGGCCTATGGAGATTGTACAGGGGGAGAGAGGAAGAAGAGGAAGAGGGGGAAGAGTCTGTGACCCGCTTTATTTGGATCCCCCCCGCCCCCGCCCCGACATTCAGGTATGGGCTCACATAGCTACGCTACCCATGCGCATAGCATAGATTGCATGATCACGCTTCGTGCAAATTACGCAACCACGAAGTGCATGGATTAAATAAGATGTAAGAGATGACTAAGCCTCTTGCTTGGCTACTGGACAGAGCATGTGCAGTAATGTAGCAACACTGACCACCAAATTTGCACGCGACCATCTCACAGAAGCAGAAGTCTCCTCTTTCAAGTGTTGAACCAGCATTCTGACGAGGTGCTCATCAGTGACAGCAGAGATCATTTGTGTATTAGTCATGGGCATGTGACAAGCCACACATAGTACACGTGAGAAGTGTGGAATGTTTAGGCATTACATCCCCATCCCCAATCACACAGTCCTCTGAGGAGCTGTATGCATCTCTGCAGGCAGGCCCTCCCTAGGTGGGTATTTCCCTTGCTTTGTAGCTCTGTGAGCTGCCTCATCTATTCAGGAGTCCTGGAACTTCTTGGGCCCTCCTGTCAATAACATCAAAACTCCAGAAACTGAGTTAGGAGAGAGTCCAGAAGATAGGACCATCTAGTACCAAGTATCTTACTTAGTACCAGCAGCAGAAATGCTAATCCAAGGGGCAGAAATGGAATGTTCAAGAAAAACAACAGCTCCCTGGAGGGAACGCCATCTTTGCCATTTCTGCCTCAGTTTCACTGAACGAGGGAGTAAATGTAATGGACAACTGAATATATCCTCACTGACATTCCCCTCCTCAGTGGTCACATTTATTGTAGTTTTTTGTATCAGGCACTGGGTTCTATCTGTCTGTCTAAAACCTCATTTAATTCTCACAACTGATCCCCAGAAATGAACAGCTTGTCCTGGTAGATGGGACAATATGATATCTCCAAGTTTTCAGAAGGAAATGCTTTTAAAGATAAGGTAGTCCCGTCCCCTGCCTGCTTGCCCACCTGCCCCGTCTCCTAGCCTGTTATTTATAGTGTGGCTGCCCCGGCTGCCAGTGTAGTCTGGGGAGCTCTGCCGGGCATATTACACACTCTCAGTTTTACGGTGGTCTGAAAGTGTGCTCATGCACCCTAAGTTTCGCTCTTGTGATGTGTCTGATAAAGTGCATGATATGTTCAACAGTTTATTGTAAAATTGGCTTTGTGTGGCTGAGGCGATGACTCAGTGGATAAATCGCTTGCCTTGCAATTGTGAGGAATTTAGATCCCAGTACTCAGAAGGCAGAGTCAGGGTTCCCAGAGCAAGCCGGCCATCTAGACTAGTTGTGATCTCTATGCCCTGGGCTTGGAGACTTTACCTCAACAAATGAAGTAGAAGTGGTCTTCCAGAAGGACACCCAGCATCAGCTTCGGCCCCCTCATACACACTTAGGTGCATACACCCACACACGTGTGAACATACATACACAAACACATGCCACACACATGCAAAAGTGGATAAATAACAAATTAAAAAAGCTTTGTGTTAAATGGTTTTCCCTTACTATGGTAGTAGAATTCTGGGCATGTTTAAGGAAGGCTAGCCTAAACTGTGACGTTCAGTGTAAATTGTATATATTAAACTTACTTTTTGATTTGCGATGAGTTTATTGAGGTATCATCCCATTATAAGTTGAAGAGAATCTATGCGTCTCCCAACCATTTTTCTGAGGTCAATGGCTGTTGGCTGCAAAAGGACAAAAATTTCATCCATGTTTATATTTCATTAGAAAGTGATATATACACATACACATTTATGCACACACACACATATCTTAGTAAATATCTGCTAACTAAAAGAAAGTATTTGATCAAATAAGAGATGGAAAACTTGCATTTTCTAACTGGGACTGCATTTAAATCTCTGTAACAAGACCAGTAATCTACTGCTTCTACTTTACTTTGTCTTGCTGTATTTGGTTTGCTTATACAAGAAATAGTGATTAAATACCCCACAAAACTGAGAAGGTAAATGGTGCCCCGCAGATCTAAATATTTTTCATTGATTCATTAAAGGTAAGTGAATAAAGCCAAAGTCACTAAGTGACCTGAACATCATGGTGTGTGTTCATCTATGTTTTACCACAACGTATGCCACCTGCAAAGCTGTACGCCCTAAATCTTCCTCGACTTTGCACTCACATTGGTGATGATTAAGCCTGTGAATGTCACCAAGGGAGTTCTGAACATACTTGGTGTCTTACAGCCCAGTAGAAGTGACTTAGAATCCTCAGCGCCAGCAAGCTGTCAGCCACCCCTAACGTTTTACGAGCCTTTTAAAAGGGTGAGGATCCAGGAATGATACGGGAGCAGTTTGTCAGGACACTGTGCAGTCAGTACCTCCCGGAGTTCTTGGACTGAAATCAAATTGCAATGGCTTGATGCAGCCGATGGAGGCTTTAATATCAGCCCGGTCCATCACCCACCGAGAGCACTATTAATAACCAGGTAAAAGCCTTTGTGTATAAGCCGATTCCATTTACAGTTATATCATGTCAGGCAGATGTCAGCGTTCTATCTTGTCTTAGTCATAATGATGGCTAATATGATCCATACAGAATAATAGATGGGGTGGGAAGGATTACAGAGTTAAAAAAAAAATCAATCAATGCTTTCTCATACATTTCTGTGCTTTTGTGGCCGGTTAAATCATCGAAGTCTCAAGATTGATTTTTTGGCTTTTCACAGTGTGCTCCCTTTTTCTTCCTCCTCTTTTTCTATCCCCACCTCACCCCCCCCCCCAACATATAGACAAGAGTCAGATTCTTTTTCTGGATAAGTACAGAGATACACCCTGTCCCAGAGGGAAGATTTATCACATGTTGATGGCAGAGCTGAAAAGTTGTGCATGCTACTGTATGGAACAGGCAAGATACAGCAGATGATAAGCATGAGACAGTTTTTTTTTTCCAGAAATAAAGTCATTTTTACTTGATACTCGGTATTTTATTTTCATCAGCTAACACAGAGGCTCAGTTTATCTCTCCACGGAAGATCTGCCTGTGCTGCTTACGTGGTGGTGTCTGTTAGCTTGAGACGATGTCCACATCAGCAGGTCCTGTCTGTGGCACTGAGACGGATATGCCATGGATGTGTTTGCATATTCTCCAAGGTCTAAGACCCCACCACGACAGTACAGATCAGCTCAGAGGGGAGCAGGTTGGCATCAGAAAGGGATATTTGAGAGGGAGGGACATAGAACAGAATGAATGGTGTCGGGTGTGGTGGCACACGTCTCTTCCCTTTGGCCAATGGTGGGTCTTTATTGGTGCCTGAAGGATGGGAAGAGGGTGGGGTTGAGGCTAGCATGGCCTAGGGCTGTCAGAAGCTCCTGCAGGTGGACAGTACTTCCTTTGGAGCTGCCTCAACTATTTCCACGGCATGGCTTCCCACTCCCTGGGGTGGAGGAGCAGCAGCCTCAGACTACTGTGCAATCCTTTGAGGTTTCTTTACAGTCAACCATCACGTTTACAAATTGCCTTTTTAAAAACTCAGATTACATTGATTTTGCCATATAGTCTGTCTCCTGCTGTGACCCAATTTGATAAATATCCCAGTTCATCACCGTCTCTTCATCCTCATGGCCACCACCTTACTCCTGGCTGCCATTGTCTCCTGATTCACTAACCTTCTCTCTCTGGTGATTTTACACCCCACTCATCAATATACATCAGCCAAAACAGGCTTTAAAATTGTAAATCAGATCATGACAATTTCCTGCCTAAGACTCTTAGATGACTACCCAGAACTTCTTTAAGGTTCTCACACCTAGGAAGCCCTTCATAAAATAACCTTCTCTTCTCATTCTGATGGTGTCGATCACTCTCCCCTCAGACCTATGTCCCAACTGCCCTGATAGTCCCTAATCACACAGACACTCTGATTTTCTGCTCCTTGAATGTTAAGGTCACCCTTTCTATCATCCGAATATCAGAGTTTAACTGTGTGTTAAATTCTGTGAAAGTGAAAACAGTCCCTTTCCATGACAACCGAGTACAGTATTCTACATAACTTGCCACATCCCTTTGCCTATCTGTCTGTCTGCCCATCTATCACTTGTCTATCTGTCTGCCTATATATATCCAGCCATTCACCCACCTGGAAGAGTGAAAGCTCTATTGGAACACTAACTTGTGTCTTTTGCCCTATATTATGTCTCCCACTACATCACATGGTCCCTGACATGTAGCCACTCAGTACTTACAACATGAATAAATCAGGGAACAGATGAGAGGGTGCAGTCCTAGAAGGACTAGAGAATGACCCGTGTTTCCAGAGAGATCGAAGCAGGACAATAGAATGAATGATTAAGGTGTTAGAACTTGCTATTTGGTGGGACCGGGTAAAATCCATGTTTTGGAACTGAGTTCCAGACTCATGCTAAAGTTGGGATTCTGTATCTAACATTCTCCTCCCTCCTTCTCTTTTTTTCTTCCTCACTCCCCTCCTTCTGCTATGAGTGTTGATGCAGTGTGCCTATTTTATGTGACTTGTTTGAAAGCCCGATGACGCTAATAAACACTTTCTTAGAAAAACTGTTTTTAGTGCACAAAGTAAAATATCTAGAATACAAAGAAAGCCAATTATATCAGGAATGGTCATGGAGGATATGCTAAAATTACAAGTCATGTGCATGCTTTATTAAGAGTCTAGCAATAAAAAACTTGAGGTAGTGATGAGTGTAAATGAGGTGCCTGCCAAAAAATGATACTATGAAAACATGGAGGTCCCAGGTCCACTAACTGTGTTCCGTTTTGTTGTATTTGTTCATGGTCCAGGCAACGACAAATTTACTTAGAATCAAATGAAAACTGTCTTTTCTCGCTCAGGCTCCCAGATGTTCTGTTTCTGTCCATCGATCCTGTGTGGGTGGCTTTAAAATCTTGATGCAGTTGGGGCTGGAGCGGAGGTGGAAGCCCAGAAGTCCCTCCAAGGCCAGAGAAGTTGACAGAATTTGCACTGAGGTGGGGAAGTGATGGACTGTGTGTATCTTCAGAGTCCAGCTGTATGAGACATGTGAATGGCCTCAGTCTTCCGAGAGATGGGTACTTCTCAAAGCTGTAGAAGATCTAAGGTTGCTTTCTTGAACCAGATCCAAATCTCAAGCTCCTTTAAGAGTGAGTTTCTCTTTGGGAAACTTGGAATTTAAGGTTTTTTTTTTATGTTGAGATGTTTGGGACTTCTTGTTTCTTAATAAAGAGATGCTCAGGAGGTGGCTACACACAGCATCTCTCTGCTTCTCCTGAGCTGGGTTTATTCCAGAACATATTAACTCAGCAGAAGTGAGTGCTCTGCAGAACATTCTATATGTGCCTGACATGAAGGGTATGTATCTGACACAAGAGATTTAGGGTAGTGCACTGGAGTACTGCCTTTATGTATAGAATATATAAGCTCTTACAGATGGGGTCCATTCATCACATTTATGATCTATAGACTCTGCCCAAAGTAGTTTCTTTTCTACTTCATTGGTTTGAGATCTATGAAGTACATGTGCAATTGATCAGAGTTGGGCATGTTCCCACTCACCTCTCTGAAGAGAAGTTATTGCCAGTTCCCACTATAGAAAACACATCCAGGGCAGGACACACTCCTATTACACATGTGTAACTTCTTGTGTGCATGGATGTCTCGATTGCCATATATCAGAGAGCTTTAATGGAATGCAAATTTCTGTTATGTGAAATGATGAAATTAATGGTGGCCTTCGCCCGTGTGTTTTGTGGAGGCTGGCATTGAAGTTTATAGTTTGAGAAATGGAAATGACCATAAGTTTAGCTCATGATAAGTTTTCTTTCATTTTGGTATTTGGCAAAAAACCAAAACAAACCAGAGTAGCTTGAATTTAGTTATTAGGCAATTCAATGGATGGTAAAGCCTAGTGTGGATTAAACCAAAGAGGTGCAAAGCTTAGAAATCCTTCATGGTGTTCTACTCATGTGCCACCCATAAGTTGGTTAGGAACTAGGAAGCGTTTCCAGGGTGACAAATCCTAACGCATTGTGGTAGATCTTGGCTTTGTGGCAAGTTTTAGAGGTGAGTTGAACAGCTTTGGGTTGTTGAAATAATTCCCACACTGTAACTTGACACATGACATCTTATTTTATTAAGCAGAGAAATTGGAATAGAAATCGAGAGCATGGAACTCCTTGCTAAAATAAATCAGCTATGATTCCCTATGGGTTTGGAGTAGAAATGGAGTTAAGTCTTACAAGTCCACTCTATGACATCTGACAATCAAATTAAAACCAGGTGTGACCTCTATCAGCACAGCCTGTCCCTTCCAAGCACTTCCTGATTTTTGTAGCTACTATATGTAATTCTGATAAGTAGCGCATGGTCTCCTGGCAGGGACTTGCCAGTGCAGTCACTAGAAATCACAAAGGTCTGTGTAGGGGGCAAGACTCCTTTGCTTTCCGTTTGGCTATACAGAGTGGTATGCTTTGGGGAAAGTTCTTTTTTCACCCTCTCTTCTCTAGCCCAGATGATTGGTCTACATTCTCAAATGGCCATTCAGGCCTTAGTAACGAGAAATGATCAGATTGGGATGTATTCGGACAACCAGGATTCGATTCCCATGACCGGAAGTCATGGTTAAGCCTTTCGCTGAGGTCGTGGACCAGGTTTGCCATAGCTATAACCCTCGTCCTCTATTTCCACTCCTGGGTCAAATGCTTATTACCCTTT